CCAACCGGCAGCACTTTCAATATAGGAGCCTTAAAATTAAAAAGAAATATAAATTATTGCAATTTATTATATAAATCTCTGAAACTAACCTGTATCTTCACAAGATTCATGACACAAATAGGCCACTACGGGCGCAATCAATTGTGGCTTCAATTCATTGAACAATATATCGGGTAAAATGCCCTCAGTCATACGACTGGCTGCAGTGGGCACAATAACATTGCAGTGTATATTATTTTTGGCGCCTTCAATGGCTACCGTATTGGCTAAACCCACCAAACCCATTTTGGCAGCCGAGTAATTGGCTTGACCAAAATTACCATAAATACCGGAATTCGACGAAGTCATAATAATACGACCATAATTCTGTTTCTTCATATGGGGCCAAGCAGCTTGGGTCACCTTAAAACTACCCTTTAAATGGACATCATTAACCAAATTCCAATCTTGTTCGGAAGTCTTTAAAATACTACGATCACGTAAAATACCAGCATTATTGATGATAATATCCACACGGCCATAAGTTTGAATGGCGGTTTCTACAACTTTATCACCATCCACTACGGAGTTGTAATTGGCTACGGCCTCACCACCTTTGGCTTTAATTTCATTGACCACCAAATCGGCAGCACGTGTGGAGGCACCCTCACCATTATGAGCACCACCCAAATCATTTACTACTACCTTGGCACCACGGGAAGCCAAAAGTAAAGCATATTCACGACCCAAACCAGCACCGGCACCAGTCACAATAGCTACACGTCCATCATAACGCAATTGATCAGTGGCCATTTTTATTTTATGTTGTTATTGTTGCTCTGGTCAAAACCAAACTGAGTACAATTTGAAACTGAAAAAAAAAAACAATTAAAATGGAAAAAATGTTATTTAAGTTTGCAAATATATTCAAATACAAGAAATACAGGCCCGTCAAAGTTCAGTTTTGTTGTCCACATATACTAAAGAAAATAGCCGGAGTAGACGATAATAATTTGCAAGTGTATTTGTATATTTGTGGAACCGGTGTATTTAAAGATAAATCGAAGAAGAGTACACAATTACATACTAGGTTTTGCGATAAGACTTTTTATTTTATAGATTATTTCTCTATAGTACAGAGCTGTAAAATGTGAGTTCTTTAGTGTTTTCTTTGTTAAAGAAAAGTGGGCGTAACATGTGAAATTATGGCAAATGTGGAAAATTTTATAAAGTGCAGTTTATTATAATAATATTTTTTAAAAGTTGTAAAGCCTAAAGTTACAAAACAGGGGCCGAATATGCGCATACTTGATCGAATAGGTTTTCCTATCGAAAAAATATTTCGATATCGGAGTTATGCTAAAATTTACTATATATCTTGTTCGATATCGAATGTCATCATCTCAAAAAGGAACATTAAGATCATTTTTACTCGTCACGTATAATTTATTAAAAAAATTGCTGAAATTTTAGGCTGTTTTTTTTTTTTGCTACAAAAGTTTCAGAAGGAGGTAGTAGTATTGGGAATAGAAAAGTATAGGTTCTCTGCGAAGTATTTTTAAATATTGAGTTCTTAAAAGCTGTCTTCTTAAAACTTATATACAAAATTGTTCCTTTGTTCTGTTTATTAATACATACAAATTTATCTTAAAATGTTATTTATTTTAAAAAGAATGATATTCTTTTTGCTAATTGATAAGAAATTTGTATACATAATTATTATCCTATTTTGATAACAAAAAAGCGCTAGTCATTATCAGATAGTAAAATAAATATTTTATTAATTTATATGAATGAAAATATTATTTTTTTAAAGGACTATTTTTTGAAACTGTATTTCATTTGTTCTAAAATAAATCAAAGCAAACATTTAAAATTTTTCAAAGAAAACTGTTTTTGACCAGAGACTAATTACAGAGCACTAACTTCATTATGTGGTAAAAAGTGTTAAAGATGTCTTGGGAGCAATTGAAAATACTTCTTTATTGTTGTTGTTGTAAAAGTTCGACTGTGGCCGATAGTTCTTTCCTGGGGAAAAAACTTTCGGTTGATACAGCTTCGATGGGCTGACAATCTTAAAATTACTTCGATTATGATAAACTATCCCTTAAGAATTGATTAAACTCTAAATTTGTCACGTTTTTACTGAGTTTTCAATATAATTTTTTATTAAATTCTTGCCATATATCGATATTACTAAGTGAAACTTCTCAGAATTCGAAGGAGTTGATTAACTTCTAATAATGAATCATTTTTGTAGATTAATTTAAATACTTTGATTTTTAAACAATTTATTTCCAATAACGTAATATTCTATAAGAGTGGTTATATTGGTGGTCAATTATTGACCGATTCTACAGAGATTTTGGTTCACAAAAATCTTGTTTATGACAAATTACATCACTTTACTTGAATTCTTAATATATCGTCACCTGAAACGCAAAGGGCCCTAACTAACAAAAAAATCAAAATCGATTTTATTGCTAATTCTAATGAATTGCATCAAAACAAATGTCCACACCAAAAATTGGACTCCTACGACCAATATTATCGATTTTATTGACAAAAAACAAAAGGCCCTATCTACAAAAACATTTGAATATTGAAGGTAAAAAGTCTAATATATCCATTTTTATATACGCCACTGTCAACAATGATAACAAATGATAGGTTTCACTATTAAATAATTTGTTTATTTACTACAAATAAATCGCGTTGATAGAAACAAACTTTTCAATTTATATACATAGTTTTTTGCTTCTCCTGTAAAATTTTAAAAATGTTAGATAGGGCCGTTTGCGTTTTAGGTGACGATATGTAGTTATAAACATTAATCATTTTCTGAAGTGGGTTTATAAAGGATTAAATTAAATAAGGATTGATCTGCCATCATCCTTTTTGATGGACAGTGGTCATATAATCGATCAGTATAAGTGTAGTGTAACAATGTACTTTATATTACCATTTAAGTTTAAAAAACGTTAACATTTTCCTGAAAGACCGCTACAACCTATATACCTATATGTCTAAAAGTTTTATAGTTCTCATATTTTTATTGTTGAAGCTTGAAGTTAACTAACTAACTAACTAACTAACTAACTAACTAACTAACTAACTAACTAACTAACTCTAACTAACTAACTACTAACTAACTAAACTAACTAACTAAACTAAACTAACTACTAACTACTACTAACTAACTAACTAACTAACTAACTAACTAACTAACTAACTAACTAACTAACTAACACTAACTAACTAACTAACTAACTAACTAACTAACTAACTAACTAACTAACTAACTAACTAACTAACTAACTAACTAACTAACTAACTACTAACTAACTAACTACTACTAACTAACTAACTAACTAACTAACTAACTAACAACTAACTAACTACTACTAACTAAAACTACTAACTAACTAACTAACTAACTACTAACTAACTAACTAACTAACTAACTAACTAACTACTAACTAACTAACTACTAACTAACTAACTAACTAACTAACTAACTAACTAACTAACTAACTAACTAACTAACTAACTAACTAACTAACCAACTAACTAACTACTATCACTAACTTACTAACTAATTACTAACTAATTCGGTACAATATTAAATTTTTATTTACAATCTGTGTTTTTTTTTAAAGTTTATCAATAAAGTTACGTAGTTAAATAATTTAACAATAAGTTTAACTTAAATTAAACCTGAAGATTTCCTGAAAATTTAATTGTTGCACCACTATGCAGGCAAAACTATTTAAACTTTTTTCCAATGGCAAACATGTTCGATTACAGCCAAACATTATTTTATACATAGTTGTAAACGAACATGCTGGAAACTTAAGAAATTTAATACTTGTTTTTGTTGTTATCGCCAACTTTTGTATTTTGTAATATGAACTTTGTTCCTTCTAAAATTTTCGAACTTTTAGAGTAAAATCAATTTATGGGGCACCAATAAATTAGCTCCAAATTTTGAATAATCAAATCTGAATTTAAAATAAATATATTTCTAATACGTTTAAAGACTTTCAATTATTTAATTAACCAAGTTTTAAACATTATTTTTGTTGAAAACAAACGAAAATTATTAAAAGCCGGAGAGATGTGAAGGGTGTGTCAACACAAAAACTTACCAATTTAATTCGATTTTACTTTATTTTTGGCAAAACAATAAAAATTCCTTTAGAAATCTTTGTGATTAAACAATTTTTTTTATTATTTTTTGTCTTAATTGTTATTGCAAAAGCGATAAGTGAAAAACATAAAATGAAAATTGCGAAGTACAACTGGAATGACCGACCGTCTACAACTTGATTGAATTTGACGAATGAATGAAAATAAACAAGAAAAAAGACAAAGAACTAAAAAAGCTAATAATTTGACATTTTCTTTTCAATACACTATTCGTTTAGTAGAGTTTTTAATTTAAATAAAAAGTTGAAATGTGGCAACTTTAATATGGTTTGTGGCTTTGCTAGTTTTTTACTATACCTTTAATATTTCACCACTTTAGACATGTTGTAACATTAAATTATTGGTTGCAAACGAACTTAAAATGTTGCTTAAACAGTGGGATGCTATAGATTAGGCGGAAATGGAATTTTTTAAGTTTGAATATGTATAATGAGAATCAATAAAATAGATATTTTTGGTACTTTTTTATTTCTAAACTGGTACTTTATAAATTTTATATAATTTTAAACCTAGAAATGGTAATTTTTGAATTTTCTATAATATGGAACCAAACTTATAATATTAAATATCCGCGATTCATATTGAATGAGAATCTTTAAGAAGACACTATTTGGTACTTTTTTGTTCTTAAATTTCACTTCTTGAATATTCTATAATATTCAACCTAACTAATACATAGTACTTTATCTATTCGAGTGAATTTTCGTAAATTTACTTCTTGAATATTCTATAATATTCATCCTAACTAATACATAGTACTTTATCTATTCCAGTGAATTTTCTAATATTATATTTTATTTTCCTATTTTCAGACTCTGGGACGTTCGCAATCAAAACAGTTGCATGAAAATCTATCGTGGTCATATATCACATGTTAACTCTGTGAAATTTTCACCAGATGGCCTTTGGATTGCCTCGGCTGGCACCGAAGGTTCTGTCATCATTTGGGATATACGCAAGAGTAAACAGATTATGGAATTTTGTGATCAACCAGCTGGTGCTGCTATAACCTGCATACAATTTCATCCATTTGAATTTTTACTGGCTGTCGGTCGTGTTGATGGCACCGTCTGTATATATGATTTGGAAACAAAATCGCGTATAACACAAACAGATTCGACTAGTTTATTTTATCGTCATCCCATTAAATGTATAACATTTAGGTAAGTTGTTGTTTTTTATGATTTATGTAGAGTTCTATTGTATAGTAAAATTGGTCTAATCCGAAATAATTTTTCAAAATATTAGATTTTTTTTTACGGAATCTGCTAAATTTCTTCACGATATTTGTTTCCGAACTAATTCGAGATTAAAACCATATATTTGATCAAATAAAAATATTAATGTGTCATTTCTATTTTAGTGAAAATGGCGAGTGTTTGTTTGTGGGCACAGCAGCTGCTATTTCAGTAATTGGTTGGGAACCAGATCGAGAATTTGATCATATTAAATCAGCTTGGACAGCATTGGGTGATATGAAAATTGTCAACAGAAGATTGGTATGTTTTTTTAATTTTCGTGATTCAATATTATGTTCGAAATATCTAAATCGATTTTTAGTGAAAAATCGAATTTTTAGTGAAAAATCTAATTTTTAGTGAAAAATCTAATTTTTAATGAAAAATTGAATTTTTAGTGATTTTTTTTTTTTTTTTGTAGAAATCTTATTTTTTAGTGAAAACTAAATTTTTAGTAAAAAGTAGAATTTTAAGTGAGAAATCGGATTTTTAATAAAAAATACATTTTTTGGTGGAAAATTACATTTTTAGTGAAAAATCTGATTTTTAGAAAAACGTGGTATTTTTGATGAAAAATCCAATTTTTATTTTTTATGAAATATTTGATGAAAAATCGAAATTTTTAGAGATAAAAATCGTCAAAATTTTTAACATAAATTACATTAACTTGATTTTTCGATAAAAATACAAAAAATTATAGACAAAAGAAATCATTATCTGTTTATTTAAATTTTAGATTTGTGGCTCCTTTGAACAGGAATACGTTAGTATTGATGCTCTCAGTGTTAACCGCGTATTTCCCTTTTACAATCCATCTAACAATACCGCCCCCGCCTTTAATCACAACTCAACCACACGAAAAAGTTTTTCGCGAGGCAATCAAAAGTTAAGACTTTCGATTGGTGGTCCAAAACCGTCCAGATTGGTGGAAGAAAATGAAGATAATCGTAGTCCGAGTTTAGATGGTCATTCGTCGCCAAATCTCAGCTTAGAATTGGTTGATGAATCTGCCATAGATCCAGCAATGCAAACACCCACACTACCGTCCGTCTCCACACATCCCCTCAATGGTCATGGAGGCAATTCAATAAATATAACCCTAACAGATTTTGAAACAAGCTATACGTCAATGGGAGGAAGTAGTAGTGGTGTTAATGTCCCCTTGAAAAAACTATCATCATCACCTTATCATTTTCCCAATATAGCTTCAAGCACCGCGTATTCATCATTTGGTGGTAGTAGTTTGGGGGCTTTAAATTTTGATGGTCCCAGCTCATTGAAAATGCCCGGTGAACGGGGGGATATATATCAATATGAACGTTTTGTAGATCCTTTTAATCAGGATTCCGAAATAAATTTCAATGAAAGTTTCCCGCCTGTTATAACAAATTACGATAATACCGAAATGGTTGAAGATTTTCCAGTCAATACAAATCTTCATCAACCGCCCGGTTCGACAGGCCCCGCAAATGGCACCAGCAATTCGGTGAGTTCAACAACCAGTTCGTCGAATTTCGCCCATCCGCCTCCGAAGACAGCTAAACCAAAAACAACATCGCACATTACAAAACGCACTACCCAGGTAACGAGCGGTGGTGGTGGTGTTAAGAACAGTGTTTCCTCCACCTTTCAACAACGCAATAAACTATCGCAAGTATCATCCGTCAGCACAACTGAATTGCACAAAATGGATGATAATATGCTTATTAAGAAATCCGCTTCATCACATATTGTTGTAAATAAAAATAAGGCACATGTGAATAAAGAGAATGCACGTAATAAAAATATCACTGTGCAAATAATAACTAAACCTCCTACACGTTCACGTACTTCGTTGGAATTGAGATCACCGCAAAAGCAAGCACAGCAATCGGCGGCACAAAGACAGACACAAGTAAGTAGTGTGTGTGTGGTAGTTTTTGTAGTATAGGAAAATGTTGTCTCTCTTGCATTGATTCATTTAGATACTATATATCAGGCATAGGAAATTTTATTTTGAAATTGTATTCAATTTTTTCAAAAACTTGTCTGTTGACTAGTCTGAGGACTAGTCTGTTGACTAGTATGTTAACTATTCGGTGGACTAGTCAGCTGACTTGTCGGTAGACTAGTCTTTTGAATAGTCTGCGGACTAGTATGTTCATTAGTCTCTGGATTAGTCGGTTGAATATTCTGGACTATTGACTTGTCTATGGTTTAGTCTGTTGACTAGTCTACAGACTATTCTGTTGACTGGTCTACGGACTAGTATGTTGACTAATCTATTGAATAGTCTATGGACGAATCTATTGACTAGTCTATTGACTAGTCTATGGACAATCTTATTATGGATGTACTGCGATATTTTTCGAGTTCCAAAAAGTACCGAAAAAAGTACATTACTGAATTTTCTATGCCTGATATACATAAAAAGGAAGTACTGTTTGAAGATTTAATGGTTTCTATCTGAGTTTTGACTTTTTATCCAATTAAATACTAGAAAAATCTGTACTTTTATCACATATAATAAAAATGTTTAGGAAAATCTAAATAGAAATTGTATAAGTTAGATCACTTGTACTTCCTTTTTATAATTGTATAAGAAAAATCCTTAATACTAAAATAAAATGGTTTTGGTGTTACGTATAAAACGGTGTTGTTGTTATTGTACATATAAATTTATATTGTATGCTATAAAATTGTATTTTTTTTGCTTTTTCTCTTCTTTTTTTTAAACTATAGCGCCTTTCTAGTTACAACATGGATACTAGTAATGGCTCTGCAAATGTGTGTATTTATTTTAATTCATTATTTTCATTTATTTTGTATGTTTATTTTTGTTTAACCCAATATTGAATATCCTTATAGTTGTTGTTGTTGTAATAATGTTGAAAAAGAATGCATGTTTATCAATTATTCAATTTGGGTTTTAAAATATTTGTTTTTAAAATGTTACTTATATTGTTTATATAATTTCTCTTAGATTCCTATTAGTTATCGTCCAGATCCGTCTTTACTCAGTCAATCGGGTATGAATCAAAAAAGCTTTAATAATAGTCGTCATGGTATTGATGATAATGTACCAGAAATAGAAATGTTATCAGCAACACATGAACAAGTTTATCAGGAATTAAGTAATCGCAATGCAACTTTACAAATTATACGAAATTCAACAAGGTATGTTAAGAGATTTTTTTTTTTTAAAGTTTTATAATTACATAATTTTAATGAATATTAACTTGATACTATTAAGAGAATCAAAATAACATAACTAAATATACTTGAGGAGGGGTTATATATTGGCTTCATTTTATTAAAATTAAAAAATGTTCATCGCATTTCTCGGTTGTTTGTTAAAATGACAGAAAGTCAAATCATTTTACATTTGTACATTTAATTGGTGTTTACAAAAACTACAACATGTTAACAAGAAATTGTGAAATGTTTAGTGAATTAATCTAAAACAAATTTAAAAATTTTAAAAACAAAACTAAGTGATAAGAAAATAATTAAAGAAAAACTCAAATAGATGTAAAAGCATTAAGTTATTTTAAGAAGCAAGTCTAATTTTAAGAAGGTATATAAAAAGGAGTGAGTTTGCAGTAATTTTAACACACTTGTTATTCTATTCTTTGGCATTATGTATAAATTTTCAAAAATATGTTTTTTTTTATAAAATAGGTAATTTTTTTTGATTATCGGATCAAATAATCTTCAAAATGAGGCAATTGAATAGACGTTACTGTAGATTTTATTGTGAAAAATTGCGTAATTTTTTTTACGTACATATTAATAGTAAACAAATTGAGCACAAAAATATGTTTGGCAATCTAAAGCTGCGTTTTTCGATTGGTTTTCCAAAACCGTCCAGATTGGTAGAAGAAAATTAAGATAAATGTATTTCTCAGTTTAGAATAAGGTTGATGAATCTTCCATAGATCCAGCAATGTAAATGCCCACATATCCTTTATTTCTACATTTCCACTTAATGGTCATAATAACAATTCAATAAATTTGATACTAAATGATTTCGAAACAAGCTTAAGATATTTTTATAAAAATCCAGTCGTTTTCTTTATAGGAGAAATGAAAGTGAATTTTGTACAGAAGTAATTTTTGTAAAAAATCTATATTTCAGTGAATATTATGAAGAATTGAATTTAGTGAATATATAAAGCTTTCATGAAAATTCGAAATTCTATTAAACCCTTCCAGTTTTAATAAAACTTTTTAGTCAAAAATTTAAATTTTTTGAGAAAAAATTAGTTTTTAACGAAATATATGTGAGAATTTTTAGTATAAATTTAAATTTAAGAAAATTTAAGAAAAGTCGAATTTTTAATGAATATTCGAATTTTTAGTAAAGAATTTAATTTTAAGTAAAAAATTGGCTTTTTAGTGAAAATTCGAAAACAAAAATTTTTATTACAATTTTAAATTTTTTGTGAAAATTTACATTTAAGTAAAAATTGCATTTTAATAAAAATTTAAAATTTTTAGTAAAGAATCGATTTTTTGTGAAAATTTGAATTTTTTGTAATGGAAATGTTTAAGTTTAAGTGAAATTTTGATTAAATAAAAATTAGATTTTTTAATTATTTTTTGATAAAAATTCAAATTTTTTATAAAAATTCGAGTTTTTTGTAAAAAAATTTTAAATTTTGTGAAAAGTCGAATTCTTTATGAAATTCCGAAAAATTAGAATTTTAAGTGAAACTTTGATTTTCGTAAAAATTACATTTTTTGATGAAACTTGCAATTTTTAGTGAAACTTCGAATCTTGTAGTGAAATTCTAATGTTTAGCGAAAATTTAAATTTTTAGTGAATCTTCGATTATTCAATGAACCTTTTTTTTAATAAAAAATTAGTGAAAATTTTAATGAAAATTTAGTGAAACTTCAAATTTTAAATGAAATTTTATAGTAAAACTTCGAATATTTAGTAAAACTTTGAATTTTTAGTGAAACTTGTGGATCTAAGTAAAAAATTGATTTTTCAGTGAAACTTAGATCACACAGGCCGAAGTGTTTCTAAGGGTAGCTTAGTTTTAATCGCTGATTACGAATCCATACAAATTTTTCCATCACATGAGTTTTTCATGTTATCCTGTTCTAAAGTTTGAAGAAACTCCATTTTTTAAAGACGAAGACGTCTTTATTTGATAATTTTGTTATGTCATCGGGAAGTCCCATCTGTGGACTTTAAAATAAAGATGTAACTTTTGTTATATCTTCTTCCTGCTTCGAGATATCTGACGATATCTCAGATTCGGACTCAGAAAGTCCAATCTGTGGACTTTAAAATAAAGGTGTAACTTCTTTCTTCTTCGAGTTATCTGATACCAGATTCGGACTCAGTTCAGGAAAGGGTTCTATAAATCGACTTTCGAATAATCGAACAATCGACTTTTTTTCGAAAAAAGTCGAAAAGTCGAAGTCGACAATTTTGTTCCAAAAAAGTCGATAACTCGACTATGGTCTGTGAAAAAAGTCGAAAAGTCGACTTTGTCAATAAAAATCGAAAAAAGTCGAAAAGTCTGAAAGTCGATAAGTCGAAAAAAGTCGAATAAAGTCGAAAAAAGTCGAAAACTCGAAAATTGTACAAACAAGTCAAAAATAGTCGAAAATCTTAAAAAAAGTGGAAAAAAAGTCAAAAACTCTAAAATAGTCGGAAAAACTCGAAAAAAGTCAAAAAAATAGTCGAAAAAAGTCGAAAGAAGTCGAAAATAGTCAAAAAGTCGAAAAAATCAAAAAGTCGAAAATAGTCAAAAAGTCGAAAAAACTCGAAAAGTCGGAAAAAGTCGAAAAGTCGACCATTTATAAAATACTTATAGTCGAAAAGTCTAAAAGTCGACTTTTAATTAAATGAAAAAAGTCGAAAAGTCGAAAAATCGACTTTTCATAAAATGCAAAAAGTCGAGAAGTCGAAAAGTCGACATTTAACTAAATGAAAAAAGTCGAAAAGTCGACTTTTCGTTTCAACTATAGAACCCTAGTTCAGGACAATATTTTAGAAAAATATAAGGAGTGAGATCGAAAAATTCTTAACATACATATATGTTTATAAAAAAGAAACCACGAAACTTACAGCTTTATTTTTTTTTTATTTGATTGAAATTATTATTACAATTTACAAAAAAAAAATATTTTTATATTTTTAATCACTAGTGATGAAATTTTGAACCCTTTTCGGAAACCCTTCCATTAACGTTTTTATAGTGCTTTCTGTCACTTTGCTCGAACATGTAGTCCATCTCCGTTTAAAATCTACCACACTTTTGGACACCTTTTTTGTACTCTTCAATTCTCTTTTAACAAGAGCCCAATATCTCTCCACTGGCCTTAGCTCCGGGCAGTTTGGAGGATTTGCCTCTCTTGGTACAAATACCACATTATTGTTCTTGTACCACTCAAGGGCTTGTTTACCATAGTGACAGGATGCCAAGTCAGGCCAAAAATAAGTGGACACATTATGAAGTCTTATGAATGGAAGCAGCCTTTTTTGTAAACATTCCTTGATGTAAATTTCGGTATTTATAGAGCCCGTCGTAACAAATGATTGGCTTCTTTTGCCGCAACTGCATATTGCTTGCCATACCAAGAACTTTCTGGGAAATTTTGTCTGCTTTTGGGTCCTAAACTTTTCTTCAACATTCCCTCGAGCATCAGCAACATAAAACTTTTGACCTGGAAGTTGCGAAAAATCTGCCAGAACATACGTTTCGTCATCCATTATGCAGCAAGAATATTTTTTTATAAAACTTGACTTCAATTTCCGTGCTCTGTTTTTGGCCTCTAAATTTTTAGCAGCGTTCCTGTCAGGAACTTTTTGAGCCTTGTATGTTTTTAAACCTGCATTAGCTTTAACTTTTCGTACCAAATAGTCCGAGCACTGAGCTAACCGGGCTGCTTTCCTACCGGATGTGTTGGGAGCTCTTTTGAAAATGCGTTCTATTTTTTTGGCTTTAGAAACATCATGTGGACCATTCCTTCTACCTGAACCAGGTTTTCTATCAACTGACAAGTTCTCCCGGTACTGTTTAATAACATTGGAAACAGTTTGACGGCAGACCTTTGTATGCTTGGCCAACTTTTTGTAAGACCAAGTTGGGTTTAGTTGAAAATATTTAATAATTTCAGTACGCACTTTTTTCTGGTCACTCATTTTAATCAGATTAACAAAAAAATTAATATAATTGACATTACACATAATAACTGACATGTTTTTCAAAGGTAACTTGATCAAAAAAAAAATCAAATAATACTTTGGTTGAAAAATGTAATGAAAAACGTGTGTTAAGAATTTTTCGATCTCACTCCTTACTTTACTTTAACAGAAATTTTTAAAGTAAAACGGTAGACTAGTTTGTAATGTACTAGCTTATCAGTCTGTGCGTTATGGATACGATTCCTACTGAATATAATTTGTGATTGTAATGTGGAAAAATTAATAAATAATTAAATTTTAAGGGCATTGAGCAAAATTTTTAAAAATTAAGTTTTTAATCATAAGCAAATTGAAAATGTGTGTGTTAAAATTTATTCCATCTCATTCCTTAAAATATATGAAAGAATTCCCTACTAATAAATTATATTTTCTTTTAGATCTCATGATGTTCTTGCTGCCCTTAGGCAGGCCATTAAAATGGGTCGCACAGTTTTTGTGGATCTATTAGGAGCAATATTAGAAAAAACGTAAGTTATAGAAATATATAACAAAAGCGAATTTATTAAATAAACTTTCAATTTAATTATAGATCGTCCTGGAATTTAGATTTATGTATTTTAATATTACCCGAAATTTATGAATTGCTGCAAAGTCAACATAAATTGTAAGTAAAAATATTAGAATTTTTATATTTAATGATAAAAAGACACGGTTCTTAAAACTTTTGTTTTGCAAACGGATTGCTTATATTCTAAACAATATATCATTTTAATTTTCTTTTTTATTTTAGTCACTATACACGTGCTTGTGATACGCTACGTGTTATACTCTCAAATTTCTTGCCAATTATTCAGGATAATCTTGATCCCTGGGTCAATGGTTTGGGTGTGGATGTTACACGCGAAGAACGCCATCGTAAATGTTTAGAATGTCAACGATGGCTTTTGCAAATACGAAATTTACCCGAAAGCAATCATTTTGGTACCACCCTCAGCCAATTGCAAAATATGATTGTTAATATTTAAGAAATAATAAGTACACAGGTCTTATACAATTTTTATGTTTAATAGTTAACCTTTTTACTTATATTCTCTTAATACATTTATTTATTAATGTTTTTTTCTTTATTATTTTTTTTTTTGATTATCTTTGTTTCTAATTTTTATTTTATTATATAATTTTAATTTTGTTTTTTCTTTATTTTTTTTGTGTGTAACTAAATTTTTGTTTTTCTGTTTTTTAATTTATTAAAAAAACACTCCTTATTTGTAATTATAACACAAAAAATCATTGTTTATAAAGTGAAAAAATTAAACTTATTAAAAAATTAACATGTTTTTTTTTGCATTGCTTTTCCTTTTTGGTTCGAAATTGGTTTTAGCAGCTGCAGGCAGCACCTTTACATTTTGTTCTTTTTTTATTATCAATTATTAGTTTATTAATTTTATTAATTTTAAATTTCACCTAAATTTATGTGAATTTGAATTTAAAGTATTTTAACACCAATTAAATTTGTATTTTTAATTAGTATATTTAATTTTTTGATTCTGTTTTGTAATGTATGTAGTCCTGTGTGCATGTGGCCGTTTTGTATTAATACAATTTAATTTTAGAATGATTTTGGTATGTGAGTGTGTGATTTTAATTTATGTTTTTTTATTTAATAACATTTACATCATCTTATTTACTTTTCCTTTTTTCATAACTAGAGTTGTAAAAATTCAGATATTTGTAGGGAAAATATTTTATGAATATGAAAAATAGCAACATTCATAGATAGAACAAGAAAAAAGTCAATTTAGTGAAATTTTTCTAAGAGTTTGTTTGAAAGTTAATTCTATTCTTCAATATTTTTGGGGATAATTGTCATATCATCACAACTTTTTACTAATGAAAAAACTAATTTTTTTTCTAAATAATTTTTACTAAACGTTTTATTAATATCTACTACAGAAATTAGGTTTCTGTTCGAAGAATATTTTTCGGATTCAAAAGATTTTTTTCTAGAAAAAATTTCGGTAATCTGAAATTATCCTCTAAGTTTTCGAAATATTTTCTTGTTGAAAATTTCTTTACTTTGGAAGATATTTTCTAAAGAAAATTATTTAAAAAGTTTACTTACCTTTTTAATTTATTATTTAACTAGTTGATACCTCTTCATTTTGGTACCAAACTACTTTAATCGGTTTAGCGTTAACCATTGATTCAAATATAAAACTAATACGTCATTTATCGGACACATTTAACACTTTACAGGAGTTTAACTAACCTTACCTATAACTCGCCACCCCTGAAATATATTTTTGATTTTTACTCCTATTAATTAGCTTCAAGTTTGAATCATATAATACTCCAGCATGCTTGCACAATGTTAATTTGGTACAATCACAAAAATATCACACAATCAATTGATACAATCGTACCACAAGCTCACTCGAGTCCAATTGGTTGGTGTTGTGTATGGGCCCGTTTAGTTTTGAGTTTATCAATAACCAACAAACATTACTCTTTGAATAATAGATTTTGTACTATTTATCAGGAATTTGAATGTTAGTTTGTTCAATAAAAGTCGTGGAACTACTCCCTTGTAAACATTATTGGGGTACAAGATCCGTTTAGTAGTCCTATGTATTGTTGACCAGGATCATGTTTATTTTTTTAACATAGGATCATGTACTCCCATAACTTTAGTTTTGGGATTAATGGGATGCATGGATGGATTAAGTGGCAATCACCTAGAACATCACAATGTTAAATGCAGTATGTTTTTGTACATATATTCGGATTAGCTTTGGACCAGTCCTAGTCTTTGAGGAATACTCTTCACACACATGTGTAAATCTTTGTATAGAAAGCTGACTTTGTTTTCCAAAGTACTCGTCCAGTAAACAGTTTAAGAGTTTTAATGGTTTCCATCAGCGTATAATCTGAGTATTTTATGACGTCCACCGGTCAAAACTTTACTTCACTTTGAGATAAAATGAATACTAGCGGTTATTGTAGACAACGTACATATAACAAGAAATTGTTTTTCGATGTCATATATTATACCATTCGTGAGACGCAAAACAGTCGAGGTAACGACGATGACGCCCTAACTTGTTTTAAACTCAGACCTGTATGTATACAACTGTGGGATGATAGTGCAATTGTCGTAGGAACGACAGTGAATTGTGAAAATTAAATTATTACAAAATAACAAAACCAATTTCTTCAATCTTCAAAACCTCTTGTCAAATTGTCTGATACTCAAAATACTGTTGCGAGTCCAGGATCAAAAGAAAATTTATCGACTTCAAAACTTTGAGTGAAATAAAAAACAAATCCGCACAAATCTGGCATAAGTAGAAACTGTTTAGCCTTTAAAGACTTTTGAACATAAATTTGATTTTTTGATATTTTTGAGGATCATGAGCTAAACAAAAATTACTACGAAATTCGATTTTAATTTCATATTGTCGAATATAAAACTAAAACTATTTTACAAAGTGACTAATAAAACTAATTAACTAACATTGCTAAAAGCTTGTAAAACTCGCACAAGTTTTAAGTTTCCGAAACATTTAAGTTTGAAATGGATTTTGTGATAAATAGTAAGAATCGAATCCCCAAATCATTAAAAATATGAAACGTACATAAATTGTATGACGATTGACTTTCTGTTAGGACAAGCACATGTTAAAATAGCTAGTCAACTAGGTAGTCGGTGGCTAGGATAACCTTAAGTGGAAGGTTAAACGGCTAGTTCTGAACAAATAAAAATTTTGAAAAACTAAAGCTAAAATCCTATAAAAATTAAATATTTTTCAAGAAAATTTCTTATATTTGGGCAAATTAAATTTCATTCTTGTCTGAAGCAGGCAGTCTTTAGTGATAAATTTTTTTCCTAAATATTTCAAATTTTTACAACTCTAATTTGTATTGCTGTTTTATTACAACTCAAATTACATAAAAAAATCATAATAATCGAGATTTTAAATGGATTTTATTGAAATTATTATTCAACTGCCAAATTTATAATCATATTTTCTTCTTTTTAATTTAATTTTTATTATAATAAAAACCATCAAGCCAATCAATCAACCCATACAAACTGATCTTCCATTAAAAAAAAACATTCAAATTTTTACACTTAAACAAAAAATTTTACTCAAATATAAAGTATTTGGTTTATTTTTATTTAACCACTTTGTTGTTAACAAATTAATAAAACTTTAACAAATGAATTTAATAGCATTCCCCCTCTTCAACGTTTCTGTTTTGTTTTCCTTAACTAATATTTGCATAAAGTGCCTTTTTATAAAATGCAAACATTAAAAAAAAAACTATAAACAAATAGTATTTTATGTTAAAAGCCCTTTATTGTTTTTAAATTATTTTTAATTTGCTTTTTTTTCACTCATTAACCGATTAAAAGGAATTGTAGGTATTAAGAAGAAATAAACCCCTAGAGACTGTAGCAATGAAAAGTTTTTAAAAACAATTTGATTCAAATTTAAAGAAACAAAAAATTAAATTTATGACAATGATTGAATGTGAAAATTGGTTGTAAATCATACTTATAGAAAACAAAGAAATTAATGAAAAAAATATTAACCCTGAAAGAACAAAAGAAATTTTAAACCGTCTTGCTGTAAATAACATTTACAAAGGAAATACATAAATGAAAATGTTTTAACATAAATAAAGTATATAATATAAAAAAATAAATATTTTTGCACTTAATATATAATAACAAAGAAATAAAATTACTTATAATTAAAACACTAAGAAATAATTAGAAATTCGATATTAAAGCTTTTTCGAAATTCAAAACAAATAAAGAAAAACAAACCTACTACCACCAAACAAATAAACCAACAACACTTTTTTGAACTGTTTTTTTTTTTTATTAATAAAATATTAATAATCACATATCACTATAAGTATGTATATTTCAGTTTAAAACCATAAAAAAATAAAACAAAATATACAATTTAGTTTCTTATCATCATATTAAACACATTAACTAAAACACAAAGCAATAGTAATATGTATGTATTTGTTAACTTTAAATTAATAACAAATAACACTCTTTTAAAGCAATAATGATTTTATTTCTTTTTTATCATCTACAAAAAAAAAAAAAAGAAAGAGAATATTAATAATAAATCGCCACAAAAAATTTAGTCAAAAACAAACAACATTTTAAAGTTTAAACTTTTGTTAAAATTTGTGTTTTCTTTTACGAAACATAAAACTAAAGTATATAAAACTAATTTAATTATGTCTAAGCTCTAATATTTATGCATTTCAATTTATAATTATATAAAAACAACAACACTAACATTATATTCAACTCTCTCTCTCTTTCACTCTTCATCACTTACTTCCTGTTCTTTACATTTTATATTTACACTCATACCTATTTAAAGTAAACAATACAACAAAAAAATTGTACTTAATCCTATCGAAGGAAAAAAAAAACTAAAGTTTTCATAATTAGTTTTAATTAAGTCCTTTAATTCTATTAAAGCTTAATTTACTTTATAAGTTTCAATTGAAAAAAAAACTTAGTTTTAAAATGTCTTTGTAGTTTTATCTTAAAAAATCCTAAAAAATAAACTTTTAATTTAATTTTTAGTTATTTAAATGCTAATTAATTATCTGTATGTAATAACGTTTTATTTTATATTTTTAAACAAACATGTACTGTCATAACAAATAATTAATAATATTTAATAAAAAGAAACAATTAAAACATTTTTTCAAAAAAATAATAACGATGTTTTAAATTTCCGGGGATCTAAGTGTTAAACATAGTGTCTGAAAATGTGAAAACAAGTATGATATTACAGTCGAATTTGTGATGCTTTCAGGGCAGCTATTAATGAGTATTATAAGTGGTTTTTAGATGATGGACTTATATAAGGATCTGTTATACAATAGAAGCAAAATTAAAATTAGTTCTTATCACCGCTTTTACTTTTTACTTTTTTTGTCTAAAATATTGATGTTTAAGGCGATCGTAAAAAATTTAAACACTCTACTTTTATAGTTTCTCAGATATACGAATTTAGGTATTAACTTTATGTGGGAGATGACACGCTCACTACTTCTTGTTCGCCCATTTTTCGCAAAATTTTCATATTCACCAATATTCTGAATTTCAATTCGAATCGAAATTTTCTCCATTTGGCATCTATGGTATTCTGCATTTCGATTCGAAGCTCCTTCACTAAATTAACAACTTACAAAAACGTAGGTACGATCGTAATGCAGAATACACACAATCTTCTTTTTCTTACGATTCCGAATTTTTGTTGGAATACCAATTTTCGATCGTAGCGTAACTGAATGTGGAAACGTAATCGAAATGCAGAATAGGGGTGATTAGAAGATCTTAATTGGAATAAAATTGCGTTTACGGTAAATGGATTATTTCTTTTTCTGGGGATATATTACAGATAGATTCTATACAGATCCAATAGAATCGATTATAACTTTAAAAATTTAAATTCATGGCGTAATTAATAGAATAAGCCGCCATTTTGTTAATATATGTCCCACACCTATTTGTTTCTATTGTGAAAGTGTTAAACCCTACTCTAGAGTCCCATATGTTAGGTTAATGAGGTAATCGGCTAATGACCGACTCACTTGATTCCGTTGTAATACCTTATAACGGATCATACCTCGACCCAATCTTTGGACATTATATGTCCGAGTTCAACATGGGATCGAACAACAAATGAACGACTCTATCTGGTTTATGTTAATATAAGATAGAGCCGCTAGGTCATGCCATGCCAGTCGGCTAATGATCGACTCACTTGATTCCGTTGTAATACCTTATAACAGATCATACCTCGACCCAACCTTTGGACAATACATGTCCGAGTTCAACATGGGATCGAACAACAACTGAACGACTTTATCTTGTTTATGTTAATATAAGAGAGAGCCCCTAGGTCATGCCATGCCAGTCGGCTAATGATCGACTCACTTGATTCCGTTGTAATACCTTATAACAGATCATACCTCGACCCAACCTTTGGACATTACATGTCCGAGTTCAACATGGGATCGAACAACAAATGAACGACTTTATCTTGTTTATGTTAATATAAGAGAGAGCCCCTAGGTCATGCCATATCGGACTACCAAAGAACTCAGTCCTAATGTTTGTTAAGGCAGGACAGAGACAAAGAAATTGAAAGTGCAGTTTCCTTTTCATCCTCGTTGTGACAATTCGAGCAGTAGTCTTAGTAAATGGAGGTTTCAGTTTCCTGGTATGCTAATACAGTGACCCGTCAGGATGGCTACTTGGTATGGAATCATTCTTGAAAGCTCAATGAATCTAAGAGACCTTCGCTCATCATAAATGGGCCAGCGTATACTAGATGTTAGGCAAATTGGAAATCATTTTCAGCCTGCAAGACGCTACAGTGATCGTGTACCAAAAAAAGTACCAAAAACTCCCCTCTTCTAGATTCTCATTCTATAGATAAAGAACGAAAAAGTGACAAAAATTTCCCTCGTATAGATTTTAATTCCATAAAGATTTTCTAAATTTAAATCCATAAAATACGTTTAGAACGATAGAGAACCAAATTCCTTTTTAGGTTAAGAACACTTTTTTTCGGGCCTTAAATCTTCAAAATACTCAGTGTTTAAATTGGTATATAACATTGGTGGCCAATATCAAAATAATCGTCCTCATTTTTACGAAATTTTATTAAAATAAAATTAAATTCCACCTTTTTTCCTCTTACTTAGGCACAAAAATTTTATTCCAACTAATTTCAATTTCTTATTGAAAAAATATTTTATGAAAAACTTTCGATGATTCTTAATTAAATATCACCTGAAAATTTACATCCCAAATATTACACAATTTTAAAGAATATGAATTTATTTCAATTCTAATTAAGAACCTTTTCTCAATTCAAAACACATCCAGCTAATTTTTTTATTTCACTAATATAATAATTTATTTATCAAAACATTATTTAAATATTTCACAAAAACTATTATTAATTATTTCAAATTGATCCACACATGTTGCACTACTTTTTTTGATGATCTTAATTTTTTCAAATCCCGATTTGTATTTCCCGCTATCATTTGCACCGGCCCCTTATCCACATACATTGTGGTAGTATTTGTAATAACTGGATGTTGTATTTCTCCAATTGCTAACTCATCAGGATATTTTAAATTTAATAAATATTCACCATCATCATCATAAAGTTTAAAATTTCTAGCATTAAAACGATCTCGTTGAAAATGTATGTGACCTTTTAAGGAATTTCGTGTGGGAGTAATAAGATTATTACGACTTTTACGATATTTCGGTATAAATTTACTGCCTGGTCTTATAACAGCATGTATTTTTGTTTTAAAAGGTTGATGTCCCGATATTTGTTGATCGTTTATTTTTTGTATTATAGAATATGGTAAAAGAATATCGGTTTCGTAAGGCATTATTCCTTTAGTGTAAATACGTACAATTGAGGATTTTTCACTGGATATAGGATATGAGGTTAAACATTTTAGAAATGTTAATAATATTATAAAGTATAGCATTATTATTATTATTTTGTTGTTTTTCTTAATAATTATTCTAGTTTTTAGTTCTTTACTCTTTTAAGCACAAATTTCAACTAATTGAAACTTCAAATAAGAGATTTTAAAACTTAAATTGTTAAAACTAATTTTTAAAAAAAATTCATAATAATTATGAAATCTTACATGCTCTGTTGGCCCAATTGTTGTTGGATCGTTAGATTTTATGTACGGTTTTGGTTTTTTTGGTGGCTGTAAGTGATCTTTCTACATACACCCATTTTTTGGTAGTTCATTTACCACCACCATTATGCAATTATTAAAAAAACTTTTGTTTTTGTTTTTAACACATTTCAACTCGACATAACACTTGTATGGTTCAGTTAACGAGAATAATTCTCCATTTAATGGTCTTTTACCTTTACACGCCTTTTTTTGTCATAATTTTGTATCTATTTAATGCACAGTGGTCTGTAAATCTTTTATTTTCAATTCAAAAGAGTTTTTTAAATTTTATTACTCTCATAAAAATGTTCTGCTTAATATGTACTTAATATGTACATAAATTAAAAATAAATTTACATATTTTACATTGAAAAAGTTTTCAGTTGAAAAATGTTCACTTCCGAAAATAAATTGTCTCCCAACCACTGTTCATATTTTGATAAATTTATTATCACAATTATATAAAGTACTTGGTGTTTTTTTTTTAATTTTGCTGCCGACATAAGAGATTAGTGTTATTTTGTTTATGTCTTTCTTTTTGTTATTAAATATTATTAATTTAATTTTGTTTATTTCACATACAAACCTCTAATGAGAATCTTTAATGACCCATATTTTTTTTGTCTAACAAAATGAATGATGATCACACTGCTTTTTATAAAAGAGAGTTTGTATAAGAGTTTACTTTTGTTAATTTAAGATTTTTATTAGTTTAAATCGGATATATACATTAGGTTTATAACCAAAATTTTGGAATGGATAGGGCCGATTTGAAATTTTCAAAAATTTGTATGTTAAGAACTCCCTTGCCTATAAAAATATCTAAACTACAGACAAAGCTTTGAAGCTTTCTTACATCTTACATAATGATCTACATAATGGTGATAGATTAAGAACGGTTATGCTTATAAAAAGGTTCAATTCACTCGAAAAAAAAACAAGTTAAGAGGAGAGAGGAATTGAACAGGTCGATTCTCAAGAGGTTTTAACTTGAAAGTTTTATCAAATCGATTCCCTGAAGAAAGAATTGTGAGAGAATCTGAGTTTCCCCATAAAGGTTTGAGTCCCGCAATTTCCCCCAGTTGGTCATGGAACCTAATTCCCAGCCATTTCATTCTGTATTCTAGGACAGTGGCAAATTATGTGCTTAAACGTCTCTAGTTCCTCTACATCTTCACATATCCTGCCCATTAGTACGGTATATTACTGTCCAACTTACTGACAAAGGCCATAAGTGAGAAATGACCCGTTAAGATCTCTGTGAGAATCATTAGACTGCGCCTATCCAGTCCTATAAGTTTCTTGGTAGCCCTTTTTCATTTGATTGACCTCTGGGCTGCTGGCTTCTCAGCATCTTTTCGAATTAGAATAATTTTCCTTTATTGATGGTTACTGGTCTTATCTTATCTCACAAATCAGTCGGACCTTAAGGGTCTGATCTTAGAATATGACTGTATGTGGTATCTTGGTAGCCCTCACATCAAGGGTTGTCCATAAGGCCTTTAATATTTTGCAATCCAATCTACTATTCCAGGAACGTTTGATGATGTCACGGATTCTCTTGGAAATTAATCTAAAATAATGACAGATGTGATGATGAATCATTAGACTGCGCCTTTCCAGACCTATAAGTTTCTTGGTAGCCATTTTTCATTTGATTGAACTCTGGCTTGCTGGCTTCTCAGCATCTTTTTGGAAATAGAATAATTTTCCTTTATTGATGGTTACTGGTCTTATCTCACAAATCATTCGGACGTTAAGGGTCTGATCATCAAGTGTTGGCCATAAGGCCTTTGATATTTTGCAATCCAATCTACTATTCCAGGACTGTTTGATAATGTCAAGGATTCTCTTGAAAATTAATCTGAAATAGTGACAGATGGGTGATCTTTTTCATTTGGCTGGCCTGGCTAGCTTCTCAGCAGCTTTTCTAATCAGACTAATTTTCCTTTGTTTGATTACTGGTCTTATCTTGCAAATCACTCGGACCTTAAGGGTCTGAACTTAGAATAACAATTTGACTTTATGGTACTTTTTCATAAAAATAATGCGTCTAGAAAATACAAGTCTTTACGTTTCTGATTCAATGGGAATCAATACGGAGTGACTTTTTTAATTAAATACTGAGCACAAAAATGTTTTTTAAATTAATCAAATCTTTAAATTATAAACCAAAGTGGTGAAAAATGAAATCGAAATTGTTTTCAAATTAATGTAAATTTATAATAAACTTTTGCAAAAATATATTTTTTATGCAAAATTTTAAATTTTTGCAAACTATTTTGAAGAAAGAAATTTTTTGGTTTAAATGTTTACAACAACAAAAACATAAATTTTTATAAACTTGAACAACAACAAGATTTTTGTTGAATAGGCGTCCCCAACTCATTAATAAATTCAAAATAATCGTCGCGATCATAATTCATTCATATGATAATGAGATATAAAATAATGTTAGCCAATTTTTTTTTTATTGGGTTTGATACTTTTAGTTCGAACAGAAAAATTGGGATGCTGTATAAATATTGTATATTTATTTAGCAAAAACTACTTGTAAAGTGTTAGCTTTTTTATTGTTTTTTAATTTTATATATGAAACAACAACAAAAAATCTCTTAACAAAAGTATTTGAAGAGATTTTGAAGATTTTGGGGAATTTCAAAATGCAAAATATATTTTTATTTGAAATTGTGTAATTTTTAAATGAATTTAAATGAAATGAATGAACTATTTATGAAGAGTATTTGAATTTATTACAATAAAGTGATGACGACAATGATTATAATGATTTTATAGTTTTAGTATAAAAATCATTGATGAACTTGCAGACAGTATCAGTTCGTTACTTACATTCCTTAGAGTAGTTCCAGTTTTGCTTTAGTTGGAAATTAAACAAGACTTAAGCGCAAAATTTCCAACATGAAGGTAAAAAAATCGTTCGTACATCAAATGCTGTGGATTATTTGGGCCGATATTTAAAGGATTACTTTTTTGCAAATGTTTTTAGGTATTCATCTGTATTTTGGCTGTTATGGCAACTACTTGCTCTGCCGGTTTATTGGCTGGCATTCTTGAAGGTGGTAACAGTGGCGGTAGTGGTGGTTATGGTTATGGTGCAGGAGGCCATGGCGGTCATGATGGTGGCCAAGTTCACACAGTTGTAGTTCACCACGAAGAAGGTGGCCATGGAGGTCATGGTGGCTTCTCTGGTGGTTTTGATCATGGTCATGAAGAAGTCAAAACCGTTAAAGTAATCCACGAAGAAGGTGGTCATGGTGGTTTCTCTGGTGGTCATGTTGAACAATTCCACGGTGGTCATCAAGAAGTTAAAACTGTTAAAGTGATCCACGAAGAAGGCGGTCATGGCGGTTTCTCTGGTGGTCATGTTGAACAATTCCATGGTGGTCATCAAGAAGTTAAAACTGTTAAAGTAATCCACGAAGAAGGTGGACATGGTGGTTTCTCCGGCGGTCACTTCGAACATGGTCATGGTGGTCACGAAGAAGTTAAAACTGTTAAAGTAATCCATGAAGAAGGTGGTCATGGAGGTTTCTCTGGTGGTCACGGTGGTCATCATGAAGTTAAAACTGTTAAAGTAATTCATGAAGAAGGTGGTCATGGAGGTTTCTCTGGCGGTCATTTCGAACATGGTCATGGCGGTCACGAAGAAGTTAAAACTGTTAAAGTAATTCACGAAGAAGGTGGCCATTCTCACGGTGGTCACTTCGAACATGGTGGACATCAAGAAGTAAAAACTGTTAAAGTAATCCACGAAGAAGGTGGTCATGGCGGTTTCTCCGGCGGTCATTTCGAGCATGGTCACGGTGGTCACGAAGAAGTTAAAACCGTTAAAGTAATTCACGAAGAAGGTGGTCATGGCGGTTTCTCCGGCGGTCATATTGAACATGGTGGCCACCAAGAAGTTAAAACCGTTAAAGTCATCCACGAAGAAGGTGGTCATTCCCATGGCGGTTTCTCCGGCGGTCATCAAGAAGTTAAAACTGTTAAGGTAATCCACGAAGAAGGTGGTCATGGAGGTTTCTCCGGCGGTCATCAAGAGGTTAAAACTGTTAAGGTAATCCACGAAGAAGGTGGTCATGGAGGTTTCTCCGGTGGTCACTTCGAACATGGTCATGGTGGTCATCAAGAAGTTAAAACCATTAAAGTATTCCACGAAGAAGGTGGTCATGGTGGTTTCTCCGGCGGTCATGTTGAACATTTTGGTGGTCACCAAGAAGTTAAAACCGTCAAAGTAATTCATGAAGATGTTGGTCACTCCCATGGTGGTTTCTCCGGCGGTCATTTTGAACATGGCCATGGCGGTCATCGAGAAGTTAAAACCATTAAAGTATTCCACGAACAAGGTGGTCATTCTCACGGATGGAATTAAGCACTTTGTGGTTGGCTATGTTAGCCACATGTGATTAATCTAGTCTCTATGTAAAAACTGTAGAATCATTACCGTTATTGTTATTTAGTATGTAATATGAACTGTTTAGGATTAAGTTAAAAAAAATAAATTATATATAATTAAAAGTTGTTGTGATTTTGTGATCGGATCTAATGCATTTCAAAATATGCAGATTTATATGGGAAGAAAACTCTTTATAATGCTGCAGTTTGATATTGTTTTAATTTTAATTGTTCTTCATTTTTATCAAAATGACTGGCTTAAAATTAACATTAAAATATTGACTTGTAGTTATAAAGGGTTGAGTTCTGCTGAATTCCTGAATTTCTTCATCAAAACATGTTTTCTTAATACCGTGTCCTAAAATTTTAAACCCCTTTATTTTGGAGCAACTTGTCATAATTTACCATAACAATACTTTTCGAAATATTTAAAAATCTCTTATATTTGCTGAGATATAGTCCGATGATGGGTTTGCCTTAAAATAAAGGCAATATTAAAGTTGTTATACCCTACACCACTATTGTGGGGAGGGTATTATACGTTTGTGCTGATGTTTGTAACACACAAAAATATTGGTCCTACACCCACCTTTAAGTATACCGATCGACTCAGAATCACATTTTGAGTCGATTAAGACATGTCCGTCCGTCTGTCCGGCTGGCTGGCTGTCCATGTAAACCTTGTGGGCAAGGTACAGGCCGCAATTTTCAAGATAATTTGATGAAATTTGGACCAAGCATGTTTTTTGGCACAAGGACGAAGAAATGAAAATGGTTGAAATTGGTCCATTATTTCACCTAGCCCCCATACAACCGTACCTCCCGATTTGGGAGGTACGCTATTATCTCTCTAAAAATTGGCACAAATAAGTTTTATATAAGTATAAATGCAGATTTTCGTAATGATCGGCTCTTATTTGACCCTAGCCCCCATACAAACCCCCCTTCAAAAAATGTCTTAAACGTCTAAAATTGACTTGTAACCATTTGTATCGCAATGAAACTCAACATAGTTAACTATTATTTAAAAATATATCCTTTTCCCAAATTTAATGAGGATCGGCCCATGTTTGACCTATACTCCTATATAAAGCCTCATTTAGAAAATTTTTTTTTATCAATAAATTACTTAAATACTTTGGAATTAAGGTAAAATTCAACATAAAAGATTCTTTGTGAAAAATACAAATTTTTAAAATATACTCATGGTGTAGGGTTTTATATGGTCGGCCATGCCCGACTATACTTTCCCACTTGTTCGATTTATAGTTGTTTTAAGCTCAACATGTGTATTGGCGCTGTTACAACGTAAATTATATACATACATACATGTATATTCTGGGTTCGATCGAATACGATCCAACTATGTTCGTCCGTCGTTGGCAAGACAGAGTCCATAAAAAAGGAGCTTATAAGATGAACTTCACCCAAAGTGTTCTATCGTCTATTATGTAGCAATTGTTATAAAAGTTTGCACGAATTACTTTCCAGCACAAAGAAATTATCGGTACTGTAAAGTATGAGAAAAATCGGGCTACAGTTGTCCCGTTCAGAAAAAAAATTGCATAAATAGTAATAGCAATGATGAATTCGTTTAAAAAACTATATATAAAATCAAAATCTCTTATAATTGATTTTACCCACAAATAACCTCTCTTGCCGAAAATAAGTATCATAAATATCAATAAATCGTTCAAAAATTATAATATAATTAAGATAAAATTCGACAAAAATACTTTTTGGAAAATAAAACTTCTCAGCTCATAATTGATAGAATAATGTTAATAATACTTTATTTAAATTTAAATAACAAAAATAATTTATATAAATATTTACATTTCACTTATTTATATTACTATTACCCAAAATTATTTTCCCCAAGCTCCACCTTGACCACCTTTTGGTTGTTTAACATGTATGATTTTTAAAATTTTTACCGATTTACCAGCATGGGAACTACCTCCTCCATTCTGTCCCGAATGTTTTGGTAATGTTATTATTTTAAAAATTTGTTCCTGTTTTGGAGGAGGTGCTTTATTGGCCGGTTGATCATGTATAATAACTTTATAAACCTGAGGTTTAGGTTTGGGTTTAGGGGGATGTAATGGTTTAGCATAATATGTAGTAGTTTTCTTGGGTTTAGTTCCCATTTTTGTTACGGGATATATATAACCATCGCCAATGCCACCTTTGGGTGGTCTAGCCGATATAGTTGAACATAGTTGTAGAAGTACGAGTATCACTAAAGCAAATGTTACTGAAAACTTTAGGGAACAAATTTAATTAAATTAAAAAATATTTTTTTATTGATTTTTTTTACTGACCTTCATATCTTCCGCTTTATGTTTACGGTGAAGATAAAGTTTTAAAGTAATCCTTAAGTTTGATGAGATGTAACTGATTTTACTTTCATGGTCCATCATTGATTTTATAGTGATAGTTGAATGATGAGTTTTATTATTTGTATTAACTCATCATTTTGTTTCAAAGTTACTTCGTTGAGTGTTGTGCTATGTTGTAGGTTATTTTGCATCATCGTAATTTTAATATAATATAATGGAGATACACTCATTAAAAATTTTAGTTAAATGTTGGGTGAAGTGTATGTCACAGATTGCAATAAAATTTAAAATTTATATTATCTGTATAACAAGGCTTAATTGATTTAATTTCGAAAATTCGAAGTAATGTTCGAAATTTTAATATTGCTATAATAACACAGGAAATATGAAAAAAGTTGAAACTCAGGGACTCAGAGAATACTTTTCTGAGCGAAAGTCAAAATCCAGAGTATACTTTTCTAGAGTATTGAGCTTAACTCGAATCTGGCCTCAGAATTTCTCTAACAAATTTGGTTTTTGAGATATCGTTTTCTTATATTTGAAAAACTCCGTTTTTTCCATATTTGAGACACTATAATAGCATGGAGACATCTTTGTTTAGGTTAAGTTATCTCGAAGAAAGAATAAAGGGGGTTATATTTTTATTTTCAATTCAACATATTGGACTTTGAGATGACATACAGATTTTAAAAAATATGATGTCTTCGCGCTATTATTTTGATGTGATGAAGAAATTCTGTGGCCAGATTCAGCCCATTTTCGGAAATTCGATTTTATGATTATCGTCTGTCTGTCCGTGTATTTGCTAAAATTAGGTTTTCAAAGCTATCGGATATCCCATAAGTATTAACCAGTATATTCTATAAAGTCTGCAAAAAATATAAACTTATATAATAACTACTAACCACGATACATATTTTGGGACACATGGATACAAAATCTTGTATATAGGCATTATGTATATCAATTGAAAGGTAAAGCTAAACGAAATTATTAAATTTGTTGTAGTTTAAGAAGTAAATATTCCAATACTATTTTGTTATAAAATATCCCACATTTGTACCAGTTCAAATATTTGGAATATACTTGAAAATTAATTAACTACTACTAACTAATTTCTTTTGGTGTAAATAAGTTGGCGTGTGTGTTTCAATAGTGACCAAGTCATTATAACGCTTAAGAGTTCACCGGCAATTAACGTTTGAAAAGAAAGACAAATTATGTTTTTGTTTTTTAATATTTTTTTTTATTTAACTAAGTTTATTTATGAATTTTGGTGTGTGTTTTTTACACTGAAACATTTGATGTAACAATAAATGGATCTACTATGGCTTACATAACTAAAAAAATTGACTACTTAAAAAACTAATAACAGATTTTGGCACAATCATGCTTGACAAACAATCCAACAAACTGATGTCTACTTACAATGTGAGATGGGATGGATGTGAGCATGAGATGAGTGGATGCTAAGTTTGCTTCGCTATTTCCCTATCTATATATGAATGCATAGATGAGGGCGAACTTATTGCCAACCACCGGAGGGAGGCAAGTAAGAGTTTGAGGGAGCAGCACCACCGTAACTGCCACCAAAGCTACCACCGTAACTGGCACCACCAGATGGAGCACCGCCGTTGGGGCTCAAAGCACCGATGACCTTCAAGGATTTGAGTGTTTCGAAAGTATCATCGAAACCGGCACCAGCAGAGGAACCAGCATCAGCATAACCACCAGAAGAGTAACCACCAGAAGAGTAACCGCCAGAAGAATAACCAGAATCAGCATAACTACCCCCAGCAGAGGATTGTTCATGAATGACTTTGATGGTTTTAACAACTTCTTGAGCAGCACCGCCGTGACCACCAGCAGAGTAGCCGCCATGACCGCCAGCAGCGGGTTGTTGTTCATGAATAACTTTAATGGTTTTAACAACTTCTGGGGCACCAGCGTCAGCATAGCCGCCATGTTCGGGAGCAGGGTAACTAGCATGTTGTTGGGGTTGTTGTTCGTGGATTACTTTAATGGTTTTGACTTCCTCATGACCGTGTTCAGGGGCGGGATAACTAACCTGTTGAGGAGCTTGTTGTTGTTCATGGATAACCTTAATGGTTTTAACTTCTTCAACGGGAGCATGATCGTGATGTTCAGGGGCGGGGGCAGGGAAACTTACATGTTGAGGAGCTTGTTGTTGTTCGTGGATTACTTTAATGGTTTTGACTTCTTCGTGACCGTGGTCGTGACCATATTCTGGAGCTGGAGCAGGATAACTAACTTGAGGAGCGGGTTGTTGTTCATGAATAACCTTAATGGTTTTGACTTCTTGTTGACCACCATGACTGTGACCAGAGTAACCACCATGACCGCCAGATTGTTGTTCATGAATAACCTTGATAGTCTTTACTTCTTGTTGACCACCATGACCCGAGTAGTCAGAATGACCAGAGAAATCACCATGACCACCGGATTGTTGTTCATGGATAACCTTGATAGTCTTTACTTCTTGTTGACCACCATAACCACCAGCACCACCACCATGACCACCACCCACTGAACCGCCATGAATTACTTGGATAGTTTTGACCACACCACCGGCGGAGCCAGATCCTCCATGGCCAGCATCATAACTGTAACCGCCACCAGAGGAATATGAGCTACCGCCACCTGATGAACCTCCAAAACTACCACCGCCAATAAAACCGGCCGAGCATGTTGCTACCAAAACTGCTAAGACACAAACGAAAACCTAGAGATCACGAAAACAAATGTTCAATTATTTTCCTTTAATATTAAATGATATTTTTGTTTTACCTTCATTTTAGGAATCTTCTTGCTTAATGTGTTTCTAAGAGATCTAGGGAAACTCCTGATGAGTTGTTGTGTCTTAATGAAATGAGACTGATACCATTTCAATAGATTCGCTCACATTTTATAAGAAAACAAAAGCAGGCACTGCTGCATAATTAAAATCAATCTGATATCCCAAAACCAAAATAAGATCGCTACTAATTATAATGTTAACGTACATACATATGTATCTCCATGTGTACATATAGACAACCTATTAGTAAAATTTTTAATCTTGTGGATGCGTTGGTTTGGAAGAAACAAAAACAAAACAAGTAAGAGTTTTATATTCGGCTATGCCGAATCTTATATACCCACCATCCCACCTCGTTTGACTCGAATGAAACTTACTTATGTCGAATTTCATCTATATACTCGTATATTTAGGCCAGTTAAGCGTTAAAGTAATTTTCTGAAGAGGACCTTATATAGGGGGTAGGGTCAATTATGGGTCGATCCTCATAAAATTTGGTAGACAGAATTTGGTTCGTATTAAATTTATTTGTGTCGAATTTCATCGCTACACTCGTATTTTTAAACCATTAATGAGCGTTGCAGTCATTTTCTGAAGGGGACCTTGTATGGGGGGTAGGGTCAATCATGGACCGATCCTCATAAAATTTTTTAGATAGATTTTGACTCGTATGAAACTTACTTATGTTGAATTTCATCTATATACTAGTATTTTTAAGCCAGTTATGAGCGTTAAAGTCATTTTCTAAAGGGGACCTTATATGGGGGGTAGGGTCAATTATGGACCGATCCTCTTAAAATTTTGCATAGTGATTTTGGATCATAAGGAACTTACTTATGTCGAATTTCATCGCTATATTTGTATTTTTAAACAAGATATGGCTGTTAAAGCTGCTTTTCGAGGGGCCACTTGTATGGGGGCTATCCGAAAACGTGGACCGATATTGCCCATTTTCAATACCAAACAAACCTTACCTACAAAAAATATTTATGTGAAATTTCAAACCTCTAGCTCTTTCCGTTCGGACTCTATCGTGCTTTCAACAGACAGACAGACAGACTGACGGACAGACGGACAGACGGACAGACATGGCTAGATCGTCTTAGAATTTAATGAGGACCCAGAATATATATACTTTTGTGGGTCTATGACCAATATTTCGATGTGTTACAAACGGAATGACAAAATCAATATACCCCCCATCTTTTTTGATGGTGGGTATAAAAAACATTCGTTACTAATAATTCACAGTTGCATATTCATTTTTTCTCGTCTTCTACTTCATTATCTCAATTTCGTTTTCTAAATTTTCAATTTATTTATCTATTTTTGATTTTTAATTTGCTCTGACAAACTATGTATTACAGCAAAAACAAGAAAGCAAAAAAAAAAAAAACTATAATTAATTGCTTAATCTTCTTCGTGGATGTTACTATTGTTGTTATGTTAAGTTTATCCCAAATAACCACTTTATAAATATAAACATTTTTGTATTGCTTTTACTATGTCTACTTCATGATTTAAGTGCGTTTTGACCCTCTTCGTTATAAAAAATCCAAAAATTTATTAATTCTTCCCAATATTGTTGGTTTGTCTGTGTCGCCTAATTTGTGCATTTTTAATTTTTTATTAATTTGTTTTTATATTTTATTAATACTACATGAAATCACATTTTACTTTCATTTTTTTAAAACTATTTCTGAGTACCCTACATCAGGATTGAATAATAGTATACGCACAATTGGGACGAACGACGAATTTTTCGGAACGAATATTCGTCGTCAGAAATAGAACACACTTGAGTATATGAAAATGTACACAATCATTGCGTATGACGAAATTCGTCATACTTAACGAAATATGCGATAGGTTTATTTCCATTTCTTACGCAGACTAACGACGAATTAATTGGGGAAAATTGTTTTAAAACCAATTCCGGTAGCCCGAATTTGCTGAAATTTAGCGGTTGTGAGTACAGCTAATGACAATACAATATTATGTTCGAATATCCGAAATTATATTCGAAAATTCGAAGTTATGTTCGAAAAATTTTTTATGCTCTTAAAATAATCTCTGGGTCATAAAAATTAAAAATAAAATTTTCGAAAATTCGAACTTAAGTTCGAAAAATTTTTATAGCCATTAGAACCAGTTCTCGTGGCCCGAATTGTCTGAAATTTGGCAGTCTGGAGTACACTCGATGACAATACAATGCTATGTTGGAATATTGAAAATAAAGTTCGAAAATTCGAAGTAACGTTCGAAAAAATTTTGAAGCTGTTAAAATAATCTCAAAATTGGGGATATTCATTCACAAAAATATAATTTTAGTTCTTTTCGAGGCCAATTTCTTACATTTTCTAATATCGAAATAATGTTCGAATAAATTTTAAAGCGTTAAAATTATCTCAAAATCGTGGAGATTCACAAAAATATAATTTTTGTTCTATTTTCTTACTTTTTCCAATTTCGAACAAACAAATTTTGAAACGGATTCGCTGTACGAATAATTTGATTGTGTTCCATTCGACGAATTTACGCAACGAATTTTTGTCGACTAGTTCGTCGTGCTATACGAAATAATGGATTTCAATTTTTAAGTCTAGAAAAAATATTGGAAAAATCTAAGAAGTCAAATTTTTGAGTTATTTATTAAGAAAGAAAGGGATTATTATGAAGAAAAAAAAAATATATATACACATAATAATTAAAATTTTCTAAAATTTAATTGGGAAATTCTGAATGACATACATATAATGTCTGTTCCCGTACTCATCTTTAATAAGAAAAAACAACAAAATACATTGAAATTTTAGTACGGCAACGACTTATTGTACAAGGAGCAGTCATATTATTAAAATTTCTGAAAAATCTACAAGCTATTAAAATTCGATTGGAAATTTCTATAATACACCGTGGAGATCGCAGTAAGTAAACACCAATAAAATTGTAGTAATAGTTTAATTCGTATCTGCCGTATGTTGTTCTCTTATCAGTAATTAAAATTTCTTTTTCGCTTTTCGAACATGGCTCCATTGTGCATTTGACAGGTCAAATGTTAAATCAAAACCAGTTTTCTACTTTACATTTTGTTACAAATTCATAATAACACAAATATTTCTTTCTACTAATTTTGGCATAATTTGCAAATACATACATATATATGTATATATATATGTATGTATATATGTATGCATATTAATTAAATTTAAAATGCTAATAACCATTCGTAATTTATTTATTTAACTATAAGTTAATCTAAATTTAAATCTAATAAACTGTATACGATAAAATTAATATAAATTTTAAAATAAAATAGGGTTGCAGATATTCCCGTGGGTGCCCGCCCCACTTTAGGCGATTTTTGGAGTTTCAACAAACATATGTATGGATAAGATAAATTTCAATTGAAGAACTAAATATTATTCTACTATTTATTACCGAAATATCACCGAAAATATCGTTTGCGCTAAACGAGATATTTGAGGTCAAAGGTCGAGATATTTAAAAATCAGAATAATCTGTTTTTAGTGAATATCTCGCTTATTACGCGTCGTATGCGTTTTGATGTTATTATAATTTCTATAGAGAATTAAATTTTCTATATTTTGGTTGAGGATTATTTTAGCATAATATTAGTTGTTTTCGAGCTATAGTGTATTATTTTTTCATTGCAATAACATATTCAAATCTTAATATTTTTAACTCCAATACAGATAATGTCGATTTTTTCCTATTTTCTATGGAAAAATAATGCACTATATCTCGAAAACATCTAATGATACGCAAAAATAATCAGTTGTAAAAAGTGTACGACGCATAATAAGCAAGATATTCGCCAAAATCTGACTTTTGCAACCTTTGATCTTCAATATCTCGCTTAGCGCACAAGATATTTTCGGTGACATTTAATCCCTTACTAATTATGCTAACGAGAAGCTATATGCCATTTTTCATTAAGCTATCTGAAATTCCCTAGATTGCTCATTTTTTACCTAATTTTTCTGGGGTAAATTTATAAATCTAAAATAAAACAAACACTTTTGTACATCAAAAACTACACTAAAAATAATTCATGCTTAAATTTAAAATAAAATTATTTAGCATTATACAAAAATATTTCGTACATATTACGAAACAATTTCGTGGTGCGAAACAACGAACCATTTTGTCGAACGTACGACATTTTTCGTATATATAAGACATGAATTATTTTCGGTGTAATAATCACCAAATAAAATTGAGCAATTAAGCTACTGTTAAAATATTTTTATAAAGCTTGTAAATTATAATTAATGATTTTCAAAATTAATAATAGTTAACATCTACACAACGACTGACAATCGAAATATATTTATGTATGTATATAGATCGTAATTTTGAAACTTATGTTATAAAACAATAAAAATTTCTTGTAAACTCTTTTAGCTTTTTAATATTTATATGCATGTATATAAAAGTTTTGCATATACATACATAATTATGTAAGTATAAAGTATATTTATTTTTAAATATATGCAAAATGATGAAATATTTCTACCCACTTATAGGAATGCGCCAATTGAGAAAAGAAAAGCCAATCAAACCTAGTAGATATCATGGGCAAAATTGAACTCATGATTATTGTTCTGACTAAAAGCCATTTTGATTCTGAAACATGTTCCCATATTGACCACCACAAAAAGTTGAAGCTTTACGTAAGAAAGACTATTTATAATTAAAAATATTTAAGACGAAAATTACCTCAGCGGCTAGATAAAATTCATTTGATTAGAATATGTACATTTGAAACTTTGAATACTTATAACTTCACACATTTAAACGATTATAAATACTTGAAAACCCAACAAATGTATATGATGTTGGTACTCAATGGAAGCGTCGGCTATCTGAAGAAACAAGTTTTCATCGAAATAGCCACATAGCTTGGACACTAATATCACTTAAATCGCTTCAGCCGTTCAGGAGTTATAAGCGTTTAAATATTTTTATTGAACGATTTCAACTTGCTACATGATTCTGTTCTCCTGGTGCAGAAAAATTTTTCGGTAGCAATTTCAATTGATTTTTATGCGACTGGTCTTCTACTAAT